CAAAACATTCAGTTTTAAAACCATAAAAGCAAAGCAGAAGAGCTGTGCTGAACTGAGGCTTTCTGACTTGCAGTCCCAAGGTGGAAAGATGATCCTGTCACTCAGCGTGCTGCAATAATTGCAGATCGCTTTGTGTTCCTCACAGTGCTAAAAAAGAGGTGATGGCAACGCATCTTACATTGTAAGTCATTTGACAACATACACTTTATTCTGATACAAAATTGAAATATTTTAACAAATTTCAATCCATTATGGACCATATTTCCATGCTATTTGTAAACTTGTTTAACCACAAGTTGTAGGATTTCAGCACACTAGCACCATTGCTCTTGAAGTCTTTGCCAGTTACCATAACATACTATTCTGTTTCCAATCTTGCGATATTATCTTCTACATGAAGGCCATTTTTCTTCTACGGAGATACTTGGATTACTTTAGTTCAGGAAAAAGCTAATCTTAGATAGATGTCAACCTGTAGCACCCACAGCAGAAAAAGAATTATCCATCAGATATCTAATTTTAGTGATACTCAAGATCTTTCATGCTCCACACAATTTAAGATACAAACACTTGTCAGAGACCACAGACTGATACGTAAGTGAATATTCCACCGCAGTGTGGACAGTATATGAAAACACGTTAATTTCTTAAACACAGGGACCAAAGACAGCAAGACAGTACATCACACAATCAACGTTTGAAAGACCAGCATTCCCCTTCCCACCTTAAGTATTCAAAGGATATCAAAGTTAAGATGCTGTAGTTAATTTCAGTGTTCTATAATAACAAAACACTTATATCTGCATCAACCTGGGCCCCTTCTTTTGGGGAAACACTTTTACTACCTAGAAGTACCATTTGCTTCGACATTAACACACAGGTTTAGGTATCAAATAAACTTCCGTAGAACTGCAGCTTAGGGACCAATGCTTTGTTAACTTTCCATCTTTCCGTCTCCAGCACATTTGCAGCTGCTATTCTGAGCAGCAGCCACTACAGAAAAGCCTAGCCATGAGACAACATTCTTAACTCTTGGAAGTGCCTCTTGGAGTAAGACACCCTTGACCCAGTACTCCTTAGGGATGCGTTTATCTCTGACAAAGTTTATTTCTGAACAAACTGGGGTACGAATAATTGAAATGAAGCAAATCAGTCTAACAACAGTGTAATAAATCCAAGTGTGAAAACAGTTCCAACAGTGAATATCTAATTCTATACGTGGTGCAAAAAGACCCCTCCAGAGCACAGAACACGTCTGCAGCAATGCAGAGTCCTCTCGCGTTAAGGAAAGGTAGAGCTTCGTGCTATACACAGGCCTAACAATGGGATGCAAACTAGAGGTTTTATTAAAACTTAAGTTTTCTTAAAACATTTGCAAGATTTTAACTGTTAAAAAATGGTAACATTCCCCCTCCCCCCAAGTACAAAAGCATCTGCCCTCAACTGAGGAATCAGGACACACACTGATGCTTTTCCCCGTTACTATGCACAGATGCCCAGGCGCGCTCCCAAGGCACCTCCGCCCAGCAGAGGGGCAGCAAAGGTTTTCCACCTCCAGGCTGCGAAAGCAAGCTTGTCACCTCAGCAACAACCTGCCCGCTGCGCTGCACTAAGGAGAGACTGCAGCCTGACTGCAGCAGCTTCACATTTTGGCTCCATCTTGGCCAAGCAAAAACGGTTGTTAGCGGTTTTTAAAAACACATACAGCCATTGTGAGATTTCCATTAAGTGGCTCCTGATCACATGGAAATCGCAACATCACCGCTGTGCTTACTTCCAAGCTAACTTTCAGTTGTGCGTTACAATGTCAAGAGTTTGCTTTCTGGATGTTTACAGACAGCAGGTCACAAGTTTTCAGTACTTGAATCAGTCTGCGAACATGCCTAAGCCCCAGGTTAAACCGAAACGCACAGGCTACATTTGACTCTATTTGCTGGGTAACTAAAGCACAACCAACGTCAAAACAGAAACTGACTTCACAAAAGTAATGCACAGACTCAAGTGGATTGCGACGTTTCAATAGGTACTCGACTACTATATAAAAGGTGTGAAAAATATCCCAGACCTGTAACAACCAAAGATGCAGAAAAGGAAATACATGTTCCAAGAGTTAAGAACCAACGTGCGTAAAAGCAGATTCCGTGAAAAGTTCTTTTATTGCCATTCATCTGCATCGATGCAGTCGTGCTTTCAGCGGGGTGACAGGATTGGCCTCCACCGAACTACCCTGCCTGAAAGCACCAAAAATCGGGAAAGAAACTCTTTGACTTGTACAGATCAATACAAACCCACCTGGTAAGCCAAGATTCATTTATTAGGAGGGAATCACTGCTCTAACCCACGCCAAGTGCCTTTACAGAATCACTGCAGCAGCAGCGTACCGCACGCTGCCGAGAACTGTGACGAACTGCTTCCGAGTCTTCTTCACTTTCTGGGTTTCCGTAAGGCGCCTCTTTCTATCACAAGGTAACAAACAATTTCTGCCCCGCCCCACCCCCCTCCCCCCGGTAACTAGAGCACGTATTTCAAAACATTGACCGTTTCCGTCTCGTCATCTCGCACACACAGCAGTTCTGTACCTGCCAGGAACAGAAGACTCTTCGGTAGCAATTATGCCAGCACGCAACCCTCACCCAGAGCCGGAACTGCTGGACGGCACATGCTGGAATACTTGCTCCTTAATGCTTAAGGCTTTCCTTGAAATTAAAGGGTTGGCAAAGGAAAGCCTAGAAGGAAGTAAGGGTTAAACAAGTGTTTTACTATGCACTACAAATCTTACCCAGTCAGCAACCTTCAATTGAAGAGGATGTGCAAGACATTCCCCATTTTGTCAAGCAGCAGCTTCTCATTCAACCTGAAAATTAAAGAAATTACTCTTACCTTGTTTTAAAAACCTCCCGCTACTCTTTTATAATTCATGAAAAATTTTAAAGGCAAACCTTACCTATGCTCATTGCCCTTCCTTTCAGGTCTAAATGCTAGACCTAGTGATTTTGAGTCAACTCAAGTAGCTATCACTCAAGGAGGTTCCAAAAGGTGAAGAACTCTTGCTAGACTTTCTTCGATATTTCAGCTGTGATAAGCAGATTAACTAGCCTTGGGAAAGCTGCTCACTATCAGCACAGTATCTTATGCCTTCACTTTTCTGGAAGTTGAAGCTGTTGCTCCTGCTGCCTTGTCATTCTGCAATTATGCTGACTTCTCCATACTCAACAGGCTGCTGAAGTCCTGTCTTACGAGTCTCCTTAGCAAAGTATGGATCAAAGAGGTACATCCTAGGTTCTTTGGAGCTGGTTAATCACTGTCCTCACGGCTTACACTTTTCCACGTCACAAACAACAGCTAAGCTACCCCACCCGCCTACAGAGCATCACTTACATCCATCTCTTAAAAGGGTGCATACAGATCTTGTTCATAAAGTTTATTATCACACTATTTTTCAAAGTTAACATTGTTGTCACAGTACAGCTACAAAGGCCCTGTTAAAAAGAACACTGTCAATACATTCTAAAAAAATTTAGAAATACCAGATCAATTGTCAGAAGGGACATCAACCCCATCCTCCAGTTGCCCCTGCAACCAGATGCAGGCCCCAGGTACAAGTCTACACATCTTCTAAGCGTAGTAACGTACAAGTCGGTAGTTAGGTGGCTCACTCCCTAGTGAGTTGTGGTTTAGTTTCCAATGTTTGCAAACTCCAAATGGGTTGTTTAAAAAATGCCTTTATTGAAATACAGCCTCCCCCCCACCCCAAGCCCAAATTAATATGTACAACAACAGAAGTGTTCACTAAATCACCAATTCTTGCTTTAACTTTAGAGATATTTTAAAACTCCACAGAAAAGAATAAGCAGACTTTGCAATCCCGTTTGGAGGCTACCATCTTGACACCGGTTCCTTGTTTTAGCGTACTGCAGTCTAAATACACTCCAATAACAGTGTTTAAATAACATTGTTTAATTTTTTTTTTTTCCCGAACAACACACTCATTTTTCTACTACTTCTTAAAATCGTAATTCATTATTAATATGACTGATTATGCCTTGAGCCATTCCACACATCTTTGCAGATTCATTCCTACACTGGAATCGCATTTACCTTATACTGCACATTGACCCAGCAGCGAAACAGGCGTGAGTAACTCCAGTGCCATATGGCCAAGTGGCTGAGTATTTCTTCTATGGACTGGGCCCCTACTCTTCTGAGCCTGAGCGGACAGAAAGCACTGTCCTGGCAGCAGTCGAGAGAATTCACGTCAGGTGAGAAAATGGCAGGCTGTAGTGCCTTAATTTGGAGGTCAGAGGTGAGGACGAAGCACAATTTCTAGCCACACGTGCTGATAAGATTTGCTACTCCAGTGCATCAAGTCAGACTGTAACGCGCTACCGTTCTACCTGCGGAAGCTCAAGACTGTACCGTTCTACATGGTGGGCATTGCGTCTAGTCGGTAAAATACAGCTAGGTCGTGGTTTGTTTGGTCTTCGAGCTCTTAGCCGAGCGCAGGCATTCGCAAGGGAAAAAGCTGGAGAACTATACTACTCAGAGCCCATCGTGAACAGGCTTTTGGAACGCGTTACCTGGGACTGTCAGTGATTACACCTGTGCTACCCTTGGCTCCCAGTCAGAAGAATGTGTCCAGAAAATTGCCTAGGGTGCATGCAAGAAAGTATATAGCCATTAAGTGATTGAGGAACACACCTACGGTACTCTCGCTATGACGCCTCATTTAATTGAAACAGCGCAGTCTGGTGTGAGGGAGAGGGAAACGGGGACGAAGGAAGGGGATGAAAATTCCAAGCCACCCTCCCCAAAGTATAGTTTTATTGAAACAGAATCATTGTATATCCCAAGGAAACAGGCACTTGATTCCCCCCACCTTAACTTCTCGGGAATTACAATAAATATAAAGATAAAAAGCAAGTTTCTTTTTCTCTTCACCCAAGACTTAAGCAACTGCAGTTATCCCTCAGACATCTCAAATGAGACGGGAGACAGCTTTAATGTGTCTGAAGTTGGTCTTGTTAAAATATTTATCATGCCTTATTTTCTTGAAGCGCTAGTACTAATACAGAGCTACAAATTAAAAAATTATGCACAAACCAAAAAGTAATTTGAAGATTTCATTAAGGTAAAGCTTAGTTCTATAATTCACAAACACTAATTTGAGTAACTCAATCCTAGTTATACATCTAAACAAACTGTAACGCAACATACAGATGTTCTCCCTCTGTATGCCTATGTAACCCAGGTCAATGGCAGTTACATATATACACTGAGACTAGACCCCTTAAGACTGCAAATCGATAGGTGTTTCTATTGTTAACTTTAAATTAATACAAAATAGTAATTGAGAAATGCATTAATCCTCTCTATTAACTAACAAGGAAACACCCTAAACTACATTTTATTTCTGTTATAGAGTTCTCTGTACTAAATGTGGAAAAACTGAACTACACAAATATTGAAAAGTTAAAAATTCCTTAATTTGTTTATTCCTGGTACCACTACCACAATTTACAGGGCAATATACCTGATGTAATGGGAAAATAAAAAGAAAAAAGAAAGACAAAGCTACAACAGATAAAGACCTCAGGAATGTACATCTAATCGACACTACATTGCATTAATCAATAGCTGCACTTTTTGCAAACTGTGGCTATGACAGTCCTGAACAAGAAGGGTTTCCTGTTTAAGCTGCAGTAACTTTTCTGACTATGGATCATCGTTCCTTCTGTGGCAGATTTTACAGTTCCTCTAATGCATTTGGGACGACTGTCTCAAAGTAACCTGCAGCTTTCCTGACAACTCCTCGCTCTCTCTCCTGCTAAGAACTGTAGCCTGTTGAATACAGGATAAGAAAATTATTACTCTCAGTGAACAGTTGTACATTGTTAATCATCATTATAAATATGCATTACACCTACCCTTTTTCTGGTAGCATTTTTAGAATCTTCTACCACCATAGCCCCCACTTCCACTTCCGGATCCATAACCACCTACAAAAACCAGGGTGTATATTGAAATACAAGAATAACAACATATTTTAACCCCAAAAATGCTTTCTGTACAAAATCATATTTACCACCATAGGGACTGCCTGAACTTCTGCCACCAAAGCTGCCACCACCCTTCATGGGACCATAGTTAGACTGCTGCTGTCCACTGTAATTGCCAAAATCATTGTAGTTTCCACTTCCACCATAATTACCTGAAAGCAAATACAGATTTATAAAGCCATTTTCGTTCAACACTCAGGGTGTGAAGCCTGCCAAATTATGACATTCAACATAAATGTGAATTGTATTCATTTAAAACCATTTAAAGCAGAATTGCAAGCATTTTGCACGCTACCTCTACTAACAACGCAAAACTGATCGAAGTCCCTTAGCATTTTGAAGATCAGAAACTGGTATTTCATTCAAGATGAAAAACTTCACATGAGAAAAATCGGTAAGAGATTTGAGAGGCAATTTGAAGTTAACACAATAGGCCAAATTCAAGTCCTCCAAACTCAGAAAAGCACATGACTCCCACTATCATTCTTCCACTGCCCAATGCTTCGCATATATGACAATAATGTAAACCACACACAATTTATTTGCTCCAAAAAGTGACAGAACTGCAAGAGGAATGCTGCATATACACATCAGAGAGTGCACTAAAGTACGCAGATTTTGCAGCTTAACTCCCTAAACTTGGGGCAAACAATCACAAAGCTTGTATCAACTTAGATTTATAGTCCTCCCAGAGGAGGTTGTGATCTACGTGACGTGCACTGGTACCTGATGCCAACAGCACACTTCAAATGGCCAAAAGCTTCAAAATCCTCCTATTCTACTTCCTCCACACACAAATTTATAGCTGCTGCTTTTTGTAAAATGAGTTCCATGTTGTGTAGCGCATCCAATGCGATCCAGACAGAACACATGTAACACAGCATTCTACATTAAGGCCTAATGGTACAACTCAGTTTATGGCAGTATCACACCTCAGGCACTGTACAACTCAGACCTGCCTAAAAAACGCTGATGTCTAATTAAAGTTGCCATCTTACCACCACCAAAATTTCCTCCTTCATTGTAGCCATCATATCCTCCTCCTCCACCTCCATATCCACCACCTGGGTTTCCATATCCTGGTCCTCCACCGCCACCATAACCTCCTCTGCTGCCATAGCCAGGACCACCTCCATAGTTGCCACCTTTGAATAAAAGAAGAGTCAAACTAAACACACCAAAGCTAAATATTAGTAAGGAAAGGTCCATTTAACAACAAAACCACAAAATAAAAATGTCTTGCATTTTCCCTGTATTACATTCATCGCAGTTCCATCATTTATCTCAGCTATTTAATCCAAACAAAAAGCCCCTGCTAGTTTATGCATATCCTTGAAGCAGAAGTTCATTCTGGCTCACAGAAAGTACGCAGACATGCTGCTCCACCATCACCACCCATTACATGTGGTAACTGCTTCTCTACACAAACAGCTTTGTCAGTACTGGTATCATCCTCTTTATTGCTCTGAACTGAAATGACTCAGCAGGCAAAGCCCTCAAAAGAATTCTGGTTTAGTATTTATCTAAACATACAACTTTATTTATATGTGTGTCAAAGCTACTGGACATTCTTTTTTTCTAATCACATTAAGCATATCTGAAAGACTTAGTATTAGATGCTGATCTGGTCTCCAACATTTCGATGGAGTAGTTCCAAACGGGAAATAGATCCAGAGAACTCAACATCACTACACATATCTGCTTATAGAGTCAGGACATCAGGAACTACACGCTGCTTCCCTCACTTCCAGCCCCCCCCACCCTGCAAAAACGCTACTCCACAGCCATTTGGTAATCTCCACAGTTCTCTTTACATCCATTTTGGATACTCATCCAAACTTCATCATGAAAAAGATACTGAGCCACAAAAAGTCTCACAGACGACTGAAAAGATTTCTGGCGTGTTAGTTGGTCACTGCTTTGTTCAGTTTTAGTCATGTCAACTGACACCAGAATCTCCATTTAGTTCTCAATACCATAAACAGCTGTTGCATAACCTCATGACAGGGGGAAATATAGAGGAGTATGTTTTTTTAACCACCATTTTGTGAAGAAAACAAAAAATCTCTAACTCTTCACAGCTCTACAATGCAGAAAACATTATCGCCAAAGCAGACTTTGTTTCCAAGGTGAAGCCAAGACTTACAGCTGGTTATAACGTTCGGGGGAAAAAATACCAAGTGAACAATACACTTACCATCACCAAATCCATTGTATCCGTCACCACCCCCAAAGCTTCCTCTGCTCCCACCACCGCCACCACCACCCCCATAGCCTCCTGGAACACAAAACAGATGAGAATGTTTTCCTGAACACACACCTTAAGTGTTTAAGCCAAGTGACACAGGAAACAAAAGAACAGAAATCCCATTCTGTATGGACATCGCAGTAATTTACCTCTTCCACCAAAGTTTCCTCCTCGGCCAAAGTTTCCTCCACCGCCTCCAAAGTTCCCACGACCCATGAAGTTGCCTGAGCCACCCCCACGACCTACAAAATATTTTACTTAAATTACATTAATTGAAAACCAGTTACATAAAACAACCATCCACAACTCCAAACTCACCTCTCTGAGAGCTAGCAGTCTGCATCTCTTGTTTTGAGAGCGCTTTTTTCACTTCACAGTTATGTCCATTTATAGTATGATATTTCTGAACTATATAAAATTGTGAAATAGGAAAAAATTAGAAAATCAAATTGTTGAAAGCAATATGCTGTAAAACTCTCACAGAAATCTACTGTAAGGCATGACGCTTTTAAAAGGACCATCAAATCTACCCCATCTCTTACAATAGTAAGGCAAGTTGATTATGCCAGTATCTTACATTCTACATGCTGCTGTTCTGAAATCTAACGTCACAATTTTATCCCGTAAGTCATTTCATGTTACATACCAACAATTTTATCAACTGTATCATGATCATCGAAAGTTACAAAAGCGAAGCCTCTTTTCTTTCCGCTTTGCCTGTCTTCCATGACTTCTATGGTTTCAATCTTCCCATATTTTTCAAAGTACTCCCTTAAATTATACTCTTCTGTATCTTCTTTAATTCCACCAACAAATATTTTCTTTACTGTGAGATGTGCGCCAGGCTTTACAGAATCCTACAATGCCAAAAAGGACATTCAGTGGTTTAAATTATTAGGTGAAGATTAGGGAATGAGGTTAACTGAAACACTAACTTACCTCCCTCGAAACTGCTCTCTTTGGTTCAACCACGCGTCCATCAACCTTATGCGGTCGAGCACTCATGGCAGCATCTACCTCCTCCACACACGAGTAAGTCACAAAGCCGAAGCCTCTGGAACGTTTTGTTTGTGGGTCTCTCATCACCTGCAAAAACACAGGAGGTACTCTGCATTCCTGTACTAGGTTAAGTACCTACATGTCCTTTCAAAAGCACAAACTAATATTTGAGACTTTACCACACAGTCCGTGAGTGTGCCCCATTTTTCAAAGTGCTCTCTCAAGCTATCATCTGTTGTTTCAAAGCTCAGACCTCCAATGAACAGCTTTCTCAACTGCTCTGGCTCCTTTGGCTCATGGCCCTACAAAATCAAAAATCGAGAACGTATTTTGAATACAAAACACCGAGTTAAAATTTCACAGAATTAGTAAAAATTATCTGTACACATTACAACTACAAATAGGTGGAATATATTTACATAAAAGTAATGACTTCTAATGGGTTGAGACAGCAGCATAATAAACACTTAATGAGGTCTCATTTTAATTAAAACACTAACTAACAACTTAAGAGTGCTCAAATGCAAGCAACAGTAAAGAGATTTGAATATACTAACTGATTCGGTTGCTCCCCAGCCCCCCGGAAGTGCATTCATTTTATGCCTATCTTATGTTCGAGTTGTGTATTGCTCTGTAGGGATTAGCAATGAAGCACTGCTAGATAAAGGGGAGTTCTAACACTCTGTGAAGCACAATCCTGAGGAACTATAAGTAATTTGAAGACACAGTGTACAAGAAAAAAAGGTTATTGTCCAAACTGAGTGTCTACTCCCTCTGGATATCCATTTTGAAAGGTTACTTTTTTGCATTTTGAAGAAATTTATCAATTCTTAATTCCTTAAAATTGTCAATTTTGTACTCAGGTAATTTTGTTAAGTTTAATGCACACAAGCAGGAAAGCAGATGTACATATGTGGTTTTCAGTGTGATAGGAAATGTCTCTCAAATGTGAATCAACATGGACTTGTGTCTTACATATATAAAAATGTCTTGAATAATGACTAATCAATGACCAGTAGTGGGTAAAACTACTGGAATAAGACTGGTACCTTAACAAGCATCATAAACCAAACAAGCTTAATTGAAGCTCTTGACAGATCACCTATAGATGACCAGCCACATTTTAAAAATGTGCTAATTTTCAGAATGCAGTTTTCTATAGCACAATTAAAGGGGGCTTACATGTGCATTAGTGTTTCTGCTGTCTTTCACTGCTGCATTTTTAGGTTTTTTTTAGTTTGGCAAGGAATATTCCCGTATATATGACAGGTGTTTATGAAAAATTATTTTACAACTTTCTCCCATCCCCAAGACAGAGGAGACTTACAGAAAGTAACCAGATTAAAACCTTATTTAGCAAACTGGTACTTTTGTGCATGCAAACCACTCCACAAGGTGCTGGCCAGCTATGCTGCATGTGACTTCAGTTCTGCAGCAGTAATGCGTAACAGGCTTCACTGTTTCTGCTGCAGTGGGTTAACCTAGACTAGATGCAGCATTAGCCTGAGAGCTGAACTACATAAAATCAGCCACAGACTTCTAGGCGTCTCACTTCACACCTGAAGGTGAAGTGCTTTAACCTCTGTCACAATTTAAATAAATGGGGGTGGTAGTGCTAGGGTTGTCAGGAAAGCATATATCCCTTTGAGTGCAACGCAACCACCCTAAAGAGCAATGAATATTGTGAAACAATACATGGCAAAAGAGAATTTCTGAACTACAGAATGCTTTAGGAAACCATTGATTTATAATGTTCAGGTTGTACTACAGGAAACAATACCAAAGATTATGAAAAGCTGGGTGGGAAATAAATCCCTGGCTAAACTTAGCGAGAAAGAGCCCCAGCATTCTCAGTGACAGCTTGCTATTTAAGGCACTAACTTTGTCACTACAGGAACATTATATAAATGACTGACAGTCAACGGTCCTGTGACTACAAAGCAAAAACTTCTTTTCTACGGGCTTACAAGTGGTTTGGACTACAGAAGCTTAATAAAAAAAAAAAAATCTCCCTTCTAACTGTATGTAAACTTAAAATCTTACATGCTAACATACCTACTGCATACAGAGACTGCTTTAGGTTAAGTGAAGTACTGTTTTCTGTTGCTAACTGCCTTTTTTTTTATTTACTGACGCTACTTACTTTTTAGCTGGGTTATGTTAAAGCTGGGAACATTAAGTGTTTTAAACTCCCGTATGCATATTAAAGGAAATTTATTATGTGAAACTGTAGAGTTTAGACTCCTCCAAAACCAAAAACCCATGTAAGGAAAAATTGGACAAACTTTTTACATTTCTCTGACGCCCCTCAAGGCTAAGGCGTTTCCAGTTAGCAGTTCACACTGCTTTTACCTTAAAAGAATGACCACAGAACGCTTCAGGTCACTCCTGAAAGGAAAAGTAAACTCCTTTTCTGCTCATTTTTATTATGTGCACATGAACTGCCATTCTCATATGGGAGAAAAAACACTTGCCATTACAGCTTCTCTCTTCTATCGGAGAGAAATTATCCTCAGGACACACCTATGTTACACATACTCTCCACAGAAATAAAAGGCAGCATTTTCTTAGGGAGTGAGTTGTTTCTTTCAGGCATTTTGTTCTCACTGGGGTTAAGTATCTCTAGAGTTTTCAGAGTGCTGTCCTCTATCACACAAGATGTTGCTTCTGAGTCCTTCTGCTGTGAGTTGTAACAGCAATCTCTCCTGGGCAGCAAAACTTACACATCTCCCCCTTCCTCCCTAGCGTAACTACCACGCTGCTTCAACAAGATCAGCAGGCTCCCTCCCACTCAGCCGACACTGCGGGCCAGCACGCCATTTTGCAGCATTCCTTCCGTCACGGGAGGAGGTGGGGGTGGGTGCAGTCGTACGAACACCCAGCCTGCCTGCAGCCAGCAAGAAGCTTCATTTCTCCCCCTAAGCAGTTTAAGGGACTTCCCAAACACGTTAGTAGCCTCTGAGGAGGCGGGGAACTTGCTTTCCAGCCTTGACTAGCGACTTCCTCCCTCAAGCCAACGCTCTAAACAGCACCGACCGCCTCCATTTTGTGAGCGATCTCGTCTCCTCCACCCTCAATATGGAGGCGGAGGGGCGGGGCCTCGGGGGGGAGCGGGAACG